ATAATGAAAATGTAATTTACTTTTTCCCTTAGCACTATTTATGAAAGACGGTTTTGATGACTGACACATTTACAGTTTGCTTTTTTTATCTATTGCTATATTACTAAAGCTTTTTTCAATTAGTCGAAACTCCATACCACAATTACAACCTTGTAGTTGTTACTAGTTTGGAGTCGTTCGAATTGGAAGCGCTAATTGCGACGATCCGTATTGTGGTAGCGACGATATTCGGATGCGAGCGATATAGTTGCTTTCAAACAGTTCGTTCATATACAACCCGATATCGCAATCGCAATCGAAACTATCCATCCTTCGACATAATCGTAATCGACTACTTCAATTCCTTCTGGCGTAGCGTTCTTTTGAAATGATTCGTTCAGACTCGCTGGAAGTCAGGATGAAAATTTATACCGCAGTTCGATCAGGCTTAAGCCGCCAGTTTGACAGTTATTAGCATTTTACAGGAAATTCGTATTTTTCTGCAGAAAGATATATAAGTGCGTGGGTTCCATACAGTCTTAGTGTTCCATACAATAGTCGGAAATGCTTCTGAGGAATGCAAAAAGCGGTTAAACTGAATAATCGATCGATAAGTGTTAATATAGGGCATGCACCTGAACGTTGGACTTTCACATGGACAGCTGTGAGATAATTTTGATTAATTTTAGTTCACTTCTTGTTCCTTTGAGTCCTCAGTCCGAATCTTAAGTTTGTATACCTAACAACAACATTAAGAAATGAAAAGTATTGGAGGAAGACCAATTTTTGATGAATACTGAAAAGGTCCAACTGAAACTTTAACTTTTTTCACTTTATTGTCACAAGAATCCAGTGAGGAAGCTCAGTAGGTCCCAAAAAACTATGAGCAACAAATTAATTAAATTGCTTCCAAATACTTTTCTTGAATTAGAGTCTGCTCGAATCTCAACATAGTTGTTGTCCTAAATAGTTTTAGGACAACCGAGAGGAATTCAGTCAAGATGTCCCCATATCAGGTATTCCAACATTGTTGCTGTTTGATGGAAACAACTTTTCGTATTTTTTATCTCTAGAAATCTCGAATTAACCGGGATTGTTCATGTGTTATACCGTTAATAAATGTTTGCTTTACTTTTTTACCTTATCTAATTTATCCTTGTTTATTAACAATAACTGAGCGATTCACATCTCAACACAGATAGTATTTAAGCCCTGCTAAATGTGAGTGTACCCAGTGCGATGATTGGCTACCTGAATACTTCTCTCGAGAGATAAATGTACGCTGATGAATTGGCTTGCCACTGTGATAGGCAATGGCGTACAAAATGAGCCACAAGAACTAAAACTACACAATTTTGACGACAAACAATGCAATGATTGACTGCGTCTAACCTATTCGAATTCGTTGTTCAGAATCGACCCAGCTCTACTGTAGAAGTGGATAATACAACTGCTCCTTTGTTCCTAGGGTGTCGAACGATTTTCCTCCAGTTCAACTCTTCAACTCCTTCGTATGAGTTGCGGTACCTTGACTTGCAATGGATGAAATACAGAGGTGTGAGCTACAATAGACGAGTGTGAGAGAAAAATGGTTGCAGTTGATATTGTGGAGGCAACAATACACAAATGCGTAGGCAGTGGTGGATTTACCAGCAGGCTGAGTAGGCTGAAGCCTAGTGCGGCGGATTTTAGGGGGCGGCAAATTCGGCCCCAAAAAATTGTTTTCTTACAGAAATAAAAAAAATACCTACTTAAATGTTATTAGGTTTCACTACTTAATTTTTCAAAGTGGTGGCGAACGTAACGAAGTGTGGCGGCATTCGGGAGAAAGAGGAAAAGATATAGAGCGGCGATACAAACAGGGTAGTCCCGTCTCGTATTTACTTCTAAACAAAAGTCACCTCAAATAATTGCGTCTTGCGATTTCTAAGTAAAAGTGTTAATAAAAAAGTATTAGTAAAGTATCTAAAACTATTAGTGGATTGTGTGTATTGTAGGTAAGTAATTCTAATGTATCATGAATCATCCGTAATCAGTATTTTAACAATCTGTATTATTGTTTTAGATTTTTTTGATTAAGTATATTATTACTAGGTATATTGTTGTAGTCTAGTATATTGTAGTAGTCATTCAATAAATTTCTGTTGCTTATAGGTATTATGAGCTAAAATAGTAAGCTATTAGGGGTTTGAACTAATCCTCCGATGGTACTTGTTAAATAAAGTCTTACCCAAAAGTATTAAGGACCCTACTTTTTTTATATAAAAATCAACTTTGAAAGACGAGTTTATGTATTTTATTATAGATACGTGTACATCTATCGGAAAAATTAATATTATTTATTGATGTTAAGGGAAATAACGTACAATAAATTCTTTTCTTGTAAAACTCGACTTTTTATAGCTTCAGTTTTCATTATTTGTACGAATGATTTTCACAGGTTCCAACTAATCATTTTAAATTTTAAATTGAAAAATAATACCTTATTCACAATTTTGAAAGGAAAAAGTGGGGAAAGATATTATTGTATAGCTGAATTTTTATATGATAAACCAAAGATTTTTTTCTTTTCCAATAATTCGATAATGTACTACATGTAAATACTGAAAGCGCCTGCCGTAATAATTGCTTTACGTTAAATAAAAGTAAATATTGCGGCAGGCGCTTCCAGCATTTAAGTGTGGTAGATTATAGCAGGAATTAAAACGTCTGGCAATTACAAATGTGTATAGATAAATGCATATGGAATATATGGAAAAGGAAAAAAACTTTCGTTTTAAACGCTTTTTTTCACGACGTTGCTAGCTCTTGTACCATTATATTAGATAAATATTCAAGGATTTCAAGGTCTGAAATCTGAACAAAGGATACTGGTACCTACTGATAAATACGCACGCGAAATAAGTATCCTAATGCTATTTATGTAATTTTTTTTCCAGTTCTCAAATAGCCAATTGTAAGAATGAGTGATGGAAGGAAGCGACTCAGTGGAGCTGAGTATAGAAAAAAGGCCAAAATGAAAAAAGAAGAACAAGAACAGATTATCAGTAAAAAGATGAAAATTGACAGTTTTCTTGAAAGTGGAAGTAGAAGCAGTATTGTAAGACCAGGAACTTCAACCACATGCAGTGATAATAATACTCAAAAACAAATGGGCTATATTCAACAATCTGCTTTTGAAAAAACGGATATGTATGTTTTTGACAAAGAAGCGGTAGAAGAAACGTCAATCAGTATAACATCTGAAGATGCGTCTCAGTATCACACGTCAAGTACAAGTAATGATCAAGTGCAAACAACAGTAAATATAAATAAAGATCCAGCTTTATGGGAAATTAACGATACTTTAAGAGAGATTATAGCAAGGTACTGCTTCGATCAAAACAAGTCTTGTGACTTTTCTAAACGTGAAAAAATATATGCGGATCAGCGTCGTTTCTTGCCAGTGAGTATTTTTCAAAGGAAGATGAAAAATAATGAAGTGAAAAACCGAAATTAACTAGTTTATTCTGAAAGTAAAAATTATGTATTTTGTGGACCCTGTTTGGCATTCGGTCCACTGCAGTATAAAACCTAGTTCGAGAACGAAGGATTTAATGACTTTAAAAATGCAGAACATCGAGTAGCTCAGCATGAAAACCCTGCCCGTCATAAATCAAGTATCCTTAGTTTGAAAGCTAGAAGTGAGATTGATGGCCGAATTGACAATTTATTGCAGGTCCAGATCGATAAAGAAATTACTTATTGGAGAAATGTTCTGAAGAGAGTTGTTGCCGTAGAGAAGCGACTGTGTTCAAGAGGCATCGCTTTCAGAGGAAAAACTGAAAAGTTTGGTGATCCTTTTTTAGCTTGTCATATTTTGGAAATCAAGGATTAGGAAATACCAGTTACTTATCAAGTACCATTTGCGATCAGTTCATCCTCTTGATGGGACATGAAGTCTTAAAACAGATTGGAAATGAGATAAGAAAGGCGAAATATTATTCCCTATCTCGATTCAACACCGGATATATCACATGTGGATCAACTTACTCTTGTCATTAGATATGTTTTGGAAACACGCGAACCGTGCGAAAGATTTTTCAAGTTTTTGTCGTCAGTGGGACATAAAGCTGAAGAAATGTTTTATGCCATTATTTCGGAACTCAAAACACTAGACATAAATCTAGAAGACTGTCGTCGACAGTCATATGATAAGGCCGCGAACATATCTGGCATATACAACGATTTACAAGCAAATATTAAAAATCAAGCACATTTCGCTTTTTACGTACCTTGTTCTGCCCATTTTTTGAATTTAGCGCCAACTGCTGCTGCTGAATCTTGTACAGAAGCTTGTCGCTTTTTCATGCTGCTACAGAAAATTTACGTTTTTTTTTTGTAAGCTTGACACAACGCTGGCAAAAATTAACCAGTGAAATCGGGGAAAGGCAAAACTCTGAAGAGAGTGAATGTAACACGTTGGTCAGCCAGAGAGAGAGATTCTTCGCACGAAGCTCTTAAAACTTTGGAATCAATCAAGGACGACTGTGCCGAAAAGCCTGTAACGCGAAACGAAGCGGCGGGGATACTTTTTAATTTAGAAAAACTGGAAACGGCGGTAATGGTTGTTGTGTGGAATGATTTTTTGGAGAGAATAAATAAAGTGAATGTTCTAATTCACCGTTGCCGATCTTTACGAATCACTCTGTAAGTTTTTCGTAACTGAACGAGACAACTTCAAGTATTTCGAAGAAAAAGCGATGGAATTAAGCGTATCGAAGCAATATACAACAGATATTGGAAAAAGACAACCGAAAAGAAAAAAAGATGTGACGAAACACCCGATGAAGAAATTAGAATGACTGCGAGTGAAACTTTCTGGGTTAACACGTTTCTCGTCCTCGTAGATAGACTCGTGTCTGAGTTAGGAAAAACGTCAGGAGGCTTACAACAGATTTAACGAGAAGTTTTCATTTCTAACTAAAATAGGTGAGTTTTCAACATCGATCCTAACGGAAAAAACAAATTTCTTGGAAAAAATGTATCCTAACGATTTGGAAACTGACTTAGTTCAAGAATGCGTACACCTTCAAGGCCACCTTTCTTCTCAAAGAATTTTAATAAAACCTGAGTATGGATCATTAAAAAGCCTATCTTCGTTTCTGCGAAATCAGAATTTGGAGAACATTTATCCAAACTTGGATATAGCAGTTGGCATGGCTTTGTGTACACCAGCGACAAATTGCTCGGGTGAGAGAAGCTTTTCTTGCTTAAAGCGGGTGAAAAACTATCTACGACCTACATTAAGTCAAGAAAAGCTAAATACTTTAGTTCTTTTGTGCATAGAGTCAGAACTTATGAACAATATTCATACGGTTTAATGGATGATTTTGCGAATATAAAGTCGCGCAAAAAGGTAATTTAAAACTTTTATATTTTAATTGATTTTATTATCATCATCAAGCGGATTCTTAATACATTATTTAGTAGGAATACTGTTTTAGAAATGCAGAGATCACAAGGGGCGGCAAAATTTGAACAACCTACAGGCGGCAAATGTGTTAATCCGCCGCTGTGCGTAGGTGTCTATGCACCTGAGTGTGTCCATCACTGCGTTATGTAATCATAAACGAATGTTTTACTTTTGTCGGGATTGAAGCACATTCGGCTTTTCCCCCGCAGTGTACAACGCCAAAATTCGACTAACAACAATGGAGCAAATAGAGCGATGCAGGTGCACAACAATACATTCAAAATGAAACCAGTCATGTTCGACACCTCATTATTATTCCGACGTAGAATTTCGATTTTCAAACATATAAATTGAATTATAGCGAAATAACTTGCCAGCTACCGCTATTTGAATAGAAACTATTTTAAAATGCAAATTTTCCGCCACACAAAATACATAAAGTATGAGGTTGGCGCCCTGTGGTAATAGAGAGGTTTCCTTTATTTAGGACGCGATCTACAGATATTTGACAAAACTAGATCTTAATACCTATTAACATAATTGGTTTATTTAACTTCATCAGAACAGTTTGGCAGGTCAGTAGAGATTTAAAGTTGATTCTGAAATCCAAATGCCGCAACAAGTGGTGATGCTCATCGAGAAATCAATATTGTAACCTATCATTTTTTTATTATCTGGTTTTTGGCTGCTACCCCTTTAGAAGTTCGCTCAGTAAATTTGATCTGGCCCATTAATTGTCTTAGTATTTGAATAATTTTTTGAGATACTTTTCATGGAGGACACCCATTCCCTATGGGTTGAAACCAATTTTTTTATTATCTGGATTTTGGCTGCTACCCCTTTAGAAGTTCGCTCAGTAAATTTGATCTGGCCGATAAATTGTCTTATTATATTAATAATTTTTCGAGATACTTTTCACCGAGGACACCCATTCCCTAAGTGTTGAAATCGATTTTTTAATTATCTGGTTTTTGGCTGTTACCCCTTTAGAAGTTCGCTCAGTAAATTTGACATGGCCCATAAATTGTTTTAATATGTAAGCAATTTTTCGAGGTAGATTTCATCAAGGACACCCATTCCATAAGGGTTGAAATCGCTTTTTTATTTATCTTGTTTTTGGCTGTTACCCTTAAAAGTTCTCTCAGCTTCTTTATTCTGGACGTAAATGTGTCCCCAACTAGTGTTATAAGAGCATATTAAACCTTCTGACCGGCGCTATTGTTCGTTCGAGTAACTTCGGGAAAATGTCTGCTGGAATTTGGCTGCTAACTTCACACCGGTCACATGTTGTTACTTGTTGTTTATTAGAGTTACACTTAGCCTAATGGTGGAAGAGTAACTCATAATTCCCTTTGCCACTGTTGCTTTAGAGGCAGTTCTGCCACTTGAAATGCTTAACAAAACGCTTTCTTCTTAGTCGCTGGAAGCGTTTTTGTGAGAATCCGTATTGTGTTAGCAGTGATATTCGGATCTGAGCTTCAGCGTTCCTTCTGAACAATTGTTCAAACATCATCCGGTTTTAAGCGCTGGATAGCAACGGTCGTTCCCAGTTCCAGAAATCAGAACTGCCGGAATCGATTCCTTCAATACGATCGAAATCGTTTCCGGAATCGTTCATTTGGACCGACACGCTTGTTGGTTGCCACTCGATGGAACTTTTAGATGTTGCTTTTATATTCATATATATCGGTCATCTGAGAACATTACGTAGATAAATGTATACCTTACTTGAAACTGGCGTTTCTCACGTATCAGGTGGAGTATTGCGAGTGTGCAAATTGAGATTGATTAATATCCACTGAGAATACTTTATGAGATTACTCGGTGCTACCAAAGTCACGAATCCGTTTTAAATAAAACTAAGAAGTTTGGAGTTGAAGGAAGGAACATTTTTTGAAGGAACAATTATTAAAGTTTTCAGTACAGTACAGTACTCCTACAAGTCGTGAGTAGAAGCACCAAAATCAGCTGATACAACTAGTTTTATAGCCTTGTTGACTGTTTTTCAAGTTACGTAAAATTCACTGTTTTATGGTATGCCATAAAATTGTCGATACCTGAAAAGTGTTTATCAAAAACATTTATTTAAGTGCACATCGGTACTTGAATTCTGATGAGATGAATTTCATGTTACTGCTTCGAACCCCAAAAGCAGCCAAGTAGATTTACTCAATAGTTTCCTCACAATCACATCCTTTTATAGCAAACGTAAACTTAAAAGTCAGTAAAGTTTGATTGTTCTTTATATTGTCGCATAATAAAAATATTCAACAAAATTATATCAGAATAATCGATAGAAGCCTAAAGAGCTCGTCCAGTAGGTGGCAGCATCATGGAAGGGAACCACTTGATGTGATAGAGACTGAAGTTGTTTGCTAAGTACGGGTAAATCGGACTGTCCTCTTCTGAAGTGAATCATATACAGGTAGAGTAATCGGAGCAGCAGCTACTTAAACTTGTGAACAGTTTTCCAAGCCAGGTCTTGGCTGGACTTCAAGAGTGAAGGGTAATATTTAGCTCCTGCAGCTCCACAGGGGCTTATTTATGCAACAATTCAAAAAATTAAGTACCAAAAATAGATTAGATTACTTTTTTATGGCAAAATTCGTGGAGCTCTGTATCATCCGCGTTGAAAAATTTCTTACATGTGATCATAATAAAAAATTTTCAACCTATGTAATAGAAATCGGCCATTATTGTTGTTTTCACGTTCACTGTGGGTTGAATGGATCACTATTTCTACCCCCACTTTTTTTGACGTAATATTCAGAGAGGTTTTCAATAAGATGCTGCCCTCTTCCTAAATTGGGATTAACTGTCTCTGTGGACCCTGAAGTCCTACTAGATAAAATCGTATCAGTTCTGGATAACTGTTAAAAGCTATTCATAAATATCAATCTATATGTTTAAGATTTGTAGACAACATCGCTATTTCAAGCTTGTATTTCGGACTTCCATTGTCTTTACAATTTATCTTGAATCGTCTTCATGTTCCTTCTACGGCTATTCATAATTCTGTCGCGCTGACGTATCCAGTGAGACGACGCGTCCTGAGAGATGTGGCTGGTCGGTAGTCATAACTTGTTCTTCGGGAGGTCTGCCCTGCTTGTTCCAACTGTAGCGTCTTGATGTTGCTAATGATAGGCTTCCATATTGATATGATTTCTACGCTGGCATTACTATACACTGCTGTTGCTGGACCAGTAAGCTACCTCCTTGTATTTTCGGCGATACCAGTAGGCTTCTTTATACAGGGTGACTTTGAAGTTGAGTCATTAATTTTCAGATAATGATTGTAGAAGGAAGATAAACCAAAATATGTGTGTAAAAATAAAAAAAAAAAATAAAAAAAAATGTACCTTGTTTTATAAAGTATCCTCCCGACAAGTATTTCAGTGCGGACCTGTATTTGATCGTGAGGTCTTGGAGCACCGGCATGCCGTCCATATGTGAGGTCTTAAGTCAAATGATTCACGAGCCCGTTGTACTACATTAACAAAGGCACGAGGGGTTGGTTCCACTCGATTGGGAAACCGATCCGCATAAACATGTGCCATTTTTTATTTCGTTTGAGCCACGCAACAGACACTATTCACACGCGTTACCGACTGTATGTATAACTGAACTGACTAAAATAATTGTAAAAACATCGTTCCAAATTCTTTCGCTTTTTTGTTTCCGATGCGATGAACCGATAAGGTGGATTATATCCGCTGTTGCCAACCACGAGCACATGATATTATTATTGAGACAGGGCGGTACTCAAACTTCCAAAGGGCTATAACTTTGTTACTTTAATTTTACCAGAAAAATGGTAAAGGAAAAAACATTTCTTTTGATCAGATATACTCACTGTTAAAATAAATGACTCAACTTCGAAGTCACCCTGTATACGATCTCGGTGTCTTCCCAGTTTATTTTGTGGTGTTATCTCCATGCGTGTTTTGCTATCCCCGGTTTCTCTGTTTCGGCCCGTTGAGTGTGAAGTCGGTACTCCTTTATCCGAACAGCCAGTGGTCTCTTCGACTCTCCGATGTAAGTTTTTTTCACACTAACATGGAACCTGGCATATGTAGACTTTGGTGTCCTGATTTTCTTTCCTGGGTTAGGTTTTTGTAAGAAATGTTCTATTAATTGAGAATCAGCTTTCGATAAAGTACCTACTACTTTCCAAACCTTCTTATTATACTAAAAATGCCTTACACATACGGAATTATGAGGTTGTATTCATCCCAGGTGATTTTCCCGACTGTAGTATCCTCATGCAAAAGTTCTTCTACTATCCTTTTTGGGTATCCGTTGCTTGCCAGATCTGCTTTACTTGCGGGTCTCCTCTTCCAAACTTGCTTATGTGCCTCCAGATGTTCTTAGCTCTAACAACGAGAAACTTTTTTCTTCATGGTCATAGGATAGCTTGAAGAATAATGTAGATATTGCAATGTGCGTGTTGGTTTTCTGTATACGGAGGTTTCTATCTGGCACAGGGGCGGCTGGCCCTTAAGTTCTGCAGAGCTGCAGAACTGCCAAAACTTTTGTCTTAACAGAAAAAAGCAGTAGTAATTTGATCACTATTTATTTTCCATGCTATCACACAAATAGAAACAATACTCTCAACGCTGCCCCCGCAAGATATGGCGTCGAGTCTATTTTGTATTGAGAAAGCATTATAATCGACCAATGTGTACTTGTCATTTTCGTCGCGACCGCAGTGTAACATTATTCATGGGCCACTTGAACAGGGTCTGTGCATTACTTCGACACAAGCCGCACGCGCTTGCATTTGTCTCTCTCTACAAAATCAAATGGGCGATTTAAGCATGCGCATGTGAGTACAGATCTAATGCGAAGTACGATATCTGATTGGTCGGTCGGTGCTCGGTATAAAATTTTGCGGAGCATTTGAATTGG